GAGTCGCTGAGGGGCCGTGGCTAGAGGTTCAGGATTTAGTCTGGCTAAACTGAGATACCTGGTATATAAAAAAAAAATTAGGTTGATCCCAATTGAGAACAGTAAACACAATTTTGAAGACGATGGAAGTTTGGGGAATAATGGATCTGAAGTGAATGAAAAGCCCCTTCTTTCGCAAAGACACTGGCCAATCCGATGCAAACAATAGTGGGGGGTTCTCAGTCCCAAGGTACTGTGCGGAGACAATTTTCCCACGATTGGATTATATAACTGATCCTCCTTTGCAGAAGCCAAGGATGTGCATGGGAAGACTTGGAAGTTTAGACATATCTATAGGGGAACGCTGAGAAGGCATTTGTTGACCACTGGTTGGAGTATCTTTGTGAATCAAAAGAAGCTGGTTGCAGAGGATTCAATTGTATTTTTGAGGGCAGAAAATGGGGATCTTTGCATTCGAATTCGAAGAGCAAAGCGCAGTGTTGGCTTTGGTGGGCATAAGACCCAGTCTGGGTGGAACTCTAATGGTGCTGGAAATTTTTGGGGATTTTCAGGATACATGAGAGATATTAGTCCAGCTCCTAAACCCCCAAAAGCATGGAAAACAAAGTCTGGAAGCCCAAACTTTTCCTCGATGAACTGAAATACCTTAGTGAACCAAGCTAAAAGGCGGGTAAAAGCCAACTTACAACTCCACATAGCATCCCCAATATAAGGTAGAAAGGTAGTTCTGAACAACAAATAATTCAAATTTGAAGTTCAGATAAGTAACCTAAAATCGTTAAAGTGCACTAACTTCTGTTCATGAGTTCATACATAAAACCATGCAGGTACAGATTACCTAGATTATAAGATCATGATTCATTGTCCACCATGAAGAATCAGAAAACCTCACGGACAATAAATTGACTGATTCGTATAGTAGAGGTGTAGAACTGACTAGTGAGACTTGAAACAGAACATCTAGTCAATCATGCTTGACAGTATGAATATATTAAGTATTATAGATTTATACACACTTGTTGTTCTTCATGATCCGAAAAATGATAATTATTGAAACAATAAAATGGGAACTGCATGCTTTCCTTACCTAGAAAAATTGCACTAATACAAAATATGCAGCAATTTATTAATCAGCTATCCTACTTACAAATAGCAGAGGATAAGGTCAGGTTAGCAAGGTTAAAAGAATCTTCTCACTCACACACGACATTCTGAGACATCAAAATAAAACTTGAGTTCTGAAGAGAAGAGACCACCTGCCCCATATACATTTTCATTTCCATAAACCAAACACGAATTAGATCAAATAGCAATAGCGGGTTTTAAATCATATGTTGGTAAAGTGAACGCCTGTTTCTCTTCAAGCACCGTATTTGATACAGATGATGAAACAAAAGAGGCCAAAATTATCGTTGCCGTTGTAAATGGAGGAGAGTTTTCAGCACTGAAAGGTCTCAGAGCAGTTTCAATAGCAAAGAAACAAAAAGCAATTGTTGCGTTAAAACCTAGAATTCAAGTGAAAAAAGAAAGATGGTAAATCCATTAGCCCAGAACATAGTATTATAAACTATTACATTTTAATCAATGCACACAGATAAATAACTTAATTGTTAGGTTGTTTAATTGTCTGTAGTCTACACAAAACCTCCACGGTCCATCCTTCTTTTTAACCAAAAGTACTGGGGAAGCAAATGGGCTATTGTTGGTTTGGATTATGCCGCTCTCTAACATCTCATGTACCAGCCTTTTGTGAGAGTTGTGCTTCTCAAAACACATTTAAAATGGTGTTATTTGTGTCAATTGTCGTCTGTTGCTTATTTGGTTATTGCTGCTTATATGGCACTCATTTATTGGAAGTTGGACCATTACACGGATTGTGCTAGTTTAAATCTGATTTGGACTGTTAGATGAAACCAATGGCTGAGATATATTCTTGTGATAATATCGTCTACTGGGTTTCTGTTTGGGTGATACGACTTCTGAGTTTTCTGGACTCTTGGTTTTTTTCTCTCTTTGGCTCCTCCGTTTTAAGTCCGTAATTTCTTCTTCTTGTAGGGTTCTCTGTAATTGATCTAGCTATTTTTGGAGGTAAATCTCTTGTGTAAGATTAGGCCTGAAAGAGTGGCTGATTTTGTATAGGTTATCTCCTAATTTTGGGTTGGATCTGTGTGTTTACACTCTCTGTTTTAGGAGATAGTTTTTCGATACTTGATGTAATCTCTCTCTCTTGGAAGGTAGTATTTGCACTAATGGAACGGGCTGTTCCTGAGCCCTCATATTAGGCCATTTTTAGCTGAACTAGGTAAACATTTTCTAGTGTTGTGTGTTTGTTCCTTACAATTTTATGCGTTTGATGGTTTATATTCAGCTTTAACAAATTGGTTTCATACGAAAATCCCAACACCTTTCTATCTCTGTTTCTGAATAAAAGGACACCTATAAGGCCTGATTTTAAATGGTTATGCTCCTTCTTTCACGGGAATATGATGGTCATGTGACCTAGGATGGGCTAGTTGATTTGGCTCTTCAAACACCTTGGCAAGTTGATGCACTACTTCTAACACTCTGCCACGTATGTTTTCCACTTGTTCCTCATTGACGGTACACGGTTGTCACACTATTCCATAAGAGTCTTTGCTAAACATTCTTGTCATCTCTTCTACCCCCATCATCTGGCAGGCTATTTGGGACTTACACTCTTTCAAGTTAATTTCCCTTTTGTTGAATTTGAACCTGGCACACCCTTGTTCGAAGTCAAAGGTGATTGGACCAAATTGGCTCATCCAATCCACCCATAAGACCATGTCATTCCCATCCAACTTGAGGGTCCTAAGCCTGTATTGAAATTCC